AATATTTGAGATAGTGTTAAAAGTAAAAGTTTAGAATTTGAATATTAATTGTAAATTAAGTACAAGAGATGCATGATTTTAGCCTATCATGTTTCGCTTAACGGAGCATAGTAATGTATAGATAATGCATAGCCTAAATATTAAATTTCGTTTTTTTTTTACTACTAACATCATTGGTAGATTTGTCGATGGCAGCGAGTGGACCACGTGGCTGTTTACGGTGTTAAAATATTTTCTCTTAATAATTTAAGGATTATACAATAAAATTTATTTGATTGTATTCCACCATTCATTGATTTAGGGTTTGTGTAATTATAGAATGGTATTTTTTTTTTCTAATTTAGAATAAGTCAATTTCTCATTTCAAGTTCCATTGTACATTATATATTGTTATGTATATTCTAATATCAATGAGTTGAAAAACATATTTTCCTTAACTTTCAAGTTGGTATCAAAGTCTTGACTCGTTGAATTTTGAAATAATTGAAACTTTTTTTTTTTTTTTTTGAGAAAATGACTGAAACAATGGAATTGTTTAGAACAAAACCTAAAGGAATTCTCAGTATAAGGATTGTTCTTATTAAATCAAATTATGATATTTGGTCACAACTAACGAAGATGCACGTTGCCCAAAGGGTGAAAGTCTCATACATTTTGGCAAGACAAAGTCACTTGCAGAATCAGAAACTGGCTGGGAAAAATGGTATGTCGAAAATCAAAATGAAAAGTGGTTCTTGATGTCCATGACTCTAGAAGTTATGAAGAACTATGTGTACTTACCTACTGTTTATGAAATATGGAAATGGAAGCAATGAGTTACAAATTTGTGCTTTGAATCAAAAAGCTTTTACAGCCGAACAAAATAGAAAGTTTCTCTCTGAACATTATGGAGTGTTGATTGAGGTTCTTCATGAGTTAGATCATTGAGATCAAGTAGTCATAAAAGATCCTGATCATATATTATAGTATATACTGATAGTGATTTTGAACAAGGGATCCTACGCAAGGAACCAACTCCAAATTTGGAAGAATGAGATGCATTGAATCGATGAGAGGCACTACGTCTTGCAACACTCAAAGGCGATTTTGAAAGTTCTGAAGTTGCAATAATGATGACTCGAAATTGACCAAAAATAAATGGACATTCCAAAGATCATTGCTTTGAACTTGTGGGATATCCAAAATGGTGGGATCATAAAGAAAAACTCAAAGAAAATCCCAACCACTGCCATTGTTGAAAGAAAGATAAATGATAATGTTGTTGAAAAATCTTCAGCATTAGTAGCTGTAACATATAATTGCGGTAAGATTCTTAATATTTCTACACATGTTTCTAATAGTAAATGGATAATTGATTCTGGTACAACCGATCATATGACATTTGATTCTAAACAGGTCGCCTATCTTAAACCATCTACATAAAAGTTTGCTTCCACTGCCAATGGTAAACTTATCCCAACTGTAGGGGAATGAACTTTAATCCTGACTAATACTTTAAATCTGTTTCTCAAAAAAACATCATCCTTATCTTGTGTTGTGATTTTTTAGCATAACTTTTGTATGTTTAAGGACATCTAAACAAAGCAGAAAGGAGATTCTGAAAGTTCTAAAGCTGCAGCAATGATGACTGAAAATTGACTGAAAATAAATTATGCTAAAGAAGTCTACCTACAAATGTACCTATTGCATTGAGGCTGGAAATACCAAAGATCGTTGATTCTAACTTGTTGTATACCAAAGATCATTGTTTTGAACTCGTTGTAAATCCCATGTTCAGTGCCCGTGCCTACAGTTTTCTAGTCCTTCCACCAGATTTCTAAACATGCATATAGCTCAAGCTTTTGATACCACATCTTTACATGCAGATTCTCTTAACCACATGGGGTCAAACCGAAATGGAGAGCTTCTCCTTCTATTATCTAGCCCCAAATTGAAAAAGAAAAGCATTATAGGAGAGTGATCCGAACCATACCTCACTAGATGCTCCTGAATATCGCCATGGTTAACCATTCTCATCAGTAATTTAAGGTCAATATGATGGTCTGAGTACGACAAGACTTTTACCTCCATATACATCCTCTGCATTACATACGGACCCTTTATCCAATTGGTACCCGAACTGCTACAATTTACGGCATAAAAATTCAAAATACCCATGCTATCCTTAATAGAATGCAACTCCTCTACTTTATTTTCCATTAAAAGATAGAACAGAGGGGAGGAGAGGATTGAGAATCCTTCTAAGTCTATTAATCGTCGCAGGTCTCCCCGACCAGCGGTCATTACAACTGAGGAAACCCACGGCTGCGCGGTTAAGAAAGCAGTTCATTCGCTTTCCTTTGAACAGTGTGTCGACCTCATCCCACCCTACACAGCCGCTCTCCAAAATCTCAATTCTGAACTCGGATAGGGGAACACGTCTCCATTTGTACTACATGGACCCAGTTTTTGTTAAGACCCAAGTTGGTTTAGAACTGGACCTATTATCTAGTGGGTCGACCTTAATGAACATTTCCATTGGCTGATATCGGTGGTGTACATTGTGGGCTTGAGAAATATTGTTGGATCTACACTTTTGGGCTCTCAACAAAGTAGTAATGGGGGTTGGACCAAGAAGTAAGCTTCTTGGAACAAACAAACATCTGAGATCCACCGGAAAGCCCATTGTTCATATAAAATATAACGTTTAGTGGTTTTTGTGATTCTCTTTTTGGGAAATTACCCAATGTAGTCAGGGAAACATGACCAATATTACATATTTATCCAGAGTAACCTGTATTGTTTGGACTGAGGGTACTCATAGTACTCCTCTGCTCAGCTGCGACATCAAAACAAGAAAAGGGAAAACCAGAGTAACCTGTATTGTCTTCTGGACACAAGCTTTTTGAAACTTTTGCGATTCTAAAAAGGAGGAATCTGTGCAAATTCTAAAAAGGAACCTATTTGCGATTTGGGAACTAGTGATAATTTGAAGAAGGTTACCATTGCCAGCCGTAGGGGCACTGGCGTTTCTGTCCTCAACGACAAGGAAGGGGTTAATATTATTTGTTAAGAGGGAGAAGTATTTTGATACGTTGAAGAAAATTTGGAGATTTTTTACAACAAAAAAAAATATATATATATTTATATTGACACAAAAGAAATTAATTTAATTATAAACATAAGTGTATTTGTAGTTACATGTACATTAATAAATATAATATACTTATATTTTTATATATCAGTTTATATATTTATATTTTATATTTATATCATATACAAAAATAGTTTAAATATTAGATACGAGTCAGATAATCCATAAATTTGACAAAGGTTTTAAAATTTTCAAAACTCCTCCCAAGGAGATCAGATTGGAGTAGGGTAAGTTCCAAGCACATGCAAACTTGATTACCAAAATAAATATTTGTAGATAATCCCATCTAATGTTGTTTAAAATTGAATTCAATTTTGTGCTGTTAAATTTTAATAAGCTTTTAATTACCCTACCCACAAATCAAATTGCTAAACTACCCTTCAAAAATTATATGTATGTTTCTGAAGTATAATATGGGATTAACTCATTTTCCTTGATCAAATATCAATCACCCAAAATCCCATATTATACATATGTCTTGATATATAAGTCATGTCATCTTGAAGCATGCAAGACTACACCTCCGTGCAACGTGACATTACACTTCGTCATCAACGTTTAGATCGTTTGATCAACACCATAACCATGCATTAAGTTGAGACTACTTGGAATTTAATTACATTGCAAGGACATTAATTACGTGACATCAAAATATATTGTGTATCTCACCACCTCTGGATCGTTTACGTATGGCCTTACATATTTATAAATATATTCATGCAAATTCTCGTTTCAACCATTGCTATATATTTCTGGAGAAACCATGTCTTCTGTTGGTAAATTCTCTCACAAGAAGATTAATTATGGGCTTCTTTGCCGTGCAGCCAAGTCTCCAGTCTTCTCCCACTTCTCCTTCGCTTCAATACTCTTCTTCATTTATGCAGCTAGTCTCATCTCTAATTTTTCTATATACTCAGCAGAGTTCAGAACTAATGAAATTCTTGGAGGAAAGTTATTTCGCAGAATAGATCCACAACAGCAACAAATTCCATCATCTGCTTCATTGCAGAGAAATAATATTATTGAAGAAGAGAGTGACCCTCTGATCCCTCCCCACAAGGCCACAAGTGAAGAAAGACTTAGATGGTTTAGGAGAAAGTTGCCGGAGCTGGAAATCCTCAACTCAACCCATTTGAGCGGGAGATTCCATGGCCGAGTCTTGGAGTTGTTCAACAACAATTGCTCAGCTCAGTTCTTCATGGTATGGCTTTCAGCTGCTCAATCATTTGGACCCAGAGAGTTCTTGGCTATTGACAGCTTGTTCAGTGCCAGCCCTAATGGCTGCTTGCTTCTTTTGTCAACATCCATGGACTCTCATACCGGATATAAAATCCTTAAACCGCTACACGACAGAGGCTTCAAGATTCTTGCGGTCACACCAGACGTTCCATTTCTGGTCAAGAACACACCAACTGAACCATGGCTAAACGAGTTGAAAGCTGGTAACTTAGACCCTGGTTCGGTTCCCCTCTTTAACCATCTCTCCGATCTGCTTAGGCTTCTGGTTCTGTACAGATACGGGGGAGTTTACCTCGACACAGATTTCATATTTATAAAAGATCTTTCAGCGCTGAGAAACGCCATTGGAGCACAAAGCATGAAACTGTCAACCAAGATATGGACAAGACTGAATGGTGCTGTTATGATATTCGATATATATCATCCGCTTCTGTTAGATTTCTTGCAGGAATTTGCCAAAACTTTCAACGGAAACAGGTGGGGACACAATGGACCTTACTTGGTTTCTAGAGTTCTTGAAAGATTAGGGAATAAAGCTGAATACAATCTCACGATCTACCCACCAAACACGTTTTATCCAGTGGATTGGGTTAAGATCATCAAGCTTTACAAGAAGCCTCAAACAGAAGACGAAATCAAATCAGCAGAGGACATATTAGCTAACATATCCAGTGAGAGCTACACCGTACACCTGTGGAATAAACGGACTAGGGAATTGAAAATAAAAGAAGGCAGCGTCATGGAAAGACTCATATCCAGTCACTGTGTTATTTGCCAACACATAACCGATGCTTAAAGAAGAATAGTTAATCTGAAGTAGTGGTTTGAATATTTTCTTTTTGGTAAATTCAGGGATGCATAATTCATGAATTTTATCTCAATTTGTCAAATAAAATTTCATACTGAGTCGTTTATATCAATTGTTTGATTTTCTAATTCTTTGTATGTATTTCCAACCATTATATATTTTTTTTGTGTCACTTTTGTGTAACATAATCTTCTTATCATTAAATAAGAAAAAACCAATCATCAATTATAGAAGAAGATAAATAAAAGAACAAGAATCATTACATAATCAATATGATGCAAGTATGTCATAGAATTAACAAGAAACTTATCACTCTATGCAAAACAACACGACACAACATGATACAAATAAAATGATACAGCACAACATTCAGTATAATAAGACATAAAATATTATCTTTTACTTGAGAATAATTTTTCGCTTAGTAAATGAAAATTTTTAGTTACCACTGATTGGTTAATGAATAAGAATATCTTTTTTCTTTAAATTTCATGAGTTAGCAAAGCTCTATAGTTTATGAATGTTGAGCTATTTGATAGTTTCTAATCTATAATCATATACACAAGTTGCATGATCGACTAACAAAGTAATGAAGAAAATAGGTTATTTTAAACGCACTCGGAGATTAGATTAAGTTGCATGATCCAATAAAAAAGTAATTAAAAAGTGATAGCTGTTATTATCATAGTAATAATACAATAATAATAGTGATAATATTCTTGTTAAGAGATTGAGGTAGAAAAGAATTAAAAAGACATATTAAACTTTTTGAACATTATCTAGAAGGGAAGTATTGTTTACCTCTTATCTGAACAATGAAGGGGCTCTCCAACGAGTGAACCAAGGGTAAGTATCCATTAAAAATTTATCTACCAAATATTTGGGCACAGGAAAATGAAAGACCCAATCCAAGTCTTAAAGTACTTTACCATCACACCATTTTTATCCTAAATAGACGCAGAAAGGTAACTCTACTTAGAATGTATTGAAGGCATAATGGAAAAGACGAGGTTATCTCACTTATGACATCGAAATGTCCCTGTTAATTCATCATTATCTGATTAAAAATCCAATTAATGCTGGCATAGTCATGCAATAATGTCACTTGTGGACATCGAAGAGGCCATAAAACCTAGCAGCATTCCGAAATCAAAAGAACAATTCAGTATAATGCGTTCTTATTGATGCACAAACACCATAAAGCACCTATGCAAAATCTCATGCCAATTGCCCATGAGGATAACTAGAGCAATAAAAATATATATATCATTGAGGGGTTTCTTTTACCAAAGCCAGCAATCAACCGACCAAAGTGTGAGAAGGCCAATACCAGGTTTATCTTTAAGCATTATCAGTTCATTGCTAGGGACCTAAGCACTCAGATAGTTATTCAATATCCAAAAGGTCCTTCACATACTTATAAATGGGCATCTGTCACCTTTCAGGTCTGAGTTCAATCAAAATCCTTACGTAACATGCATCATCTAAAAAGATCTTCTCTCTGTCTAACTCCAGTGATAAGAAATATTTCAGAGGACCAGTAGCAACATCATACAGACAAAATTAAATCTTCTCCATACCTTTAATTAAATCAAGATATAGGTTTTATCAGCAGTCCTTCGGGCCAAGAAGATAATCAGTCATGGCAACTCCATCTAATGCTCGATTCCTTTATCAATAATAGTAGAGATCTAAGAAAGGGAATAAAATCCCAAAATAGCTATTTGGCTCTGAGTAATGTTTCTATAGTTACACCTGAGTTCCTGACATGCCATGTAATTACAATTCTCAAGTATTTCACAGTGTTTAAGTAATGCAATCCAAGTGCAAAGTGGGAATGAAGTAATTAAATAGAAGAGACTAAAAACTATATATATGATATTTCATGTCTACCATTTACAAAGATCTACAGACTCTAGATAGGGGAAAAAATCCTAAAGTTACCACTCCATTGAGATGTAAGTTGCTACAGTTGCACCAGATGCCCAGAATCCCTGACTGGCCACGGAATTCAAAGTTCTTAAGGATTTCACATGGTTAAGTAATACCATTATCAATATAATAATTAGATAAATAGCCAAGAAGCCAAAGAGATTAATAAGGCCCAGATATTTGAATGAAGAATCATAGGAACAAAACGGACCTGAATCTCATGTGATCGGTAGAGTCGGAACTAGTCCTTGATATCAGATATAGGGAACTTACTCAAAATCATTAACACACACATAGACATTACTATAAAAGTGTGCGAGATCAAAAACAAAAAGAACTTTAAATGGCTAAGAAATGTGCCCATGTCCATAGAGTCACCGTGAGAAGGACTTGGAGATGTAAAATTTTGCTTTAGTAGAGGAAGGAGAAACCTAAAATTACAAAAATTCTCCCCTCCCCCACCTCCCAAATCCCAAACAATGAGAAACACCCTACGCAAGTACAATTTTACCAGAACAAGAAACACACTTCAGTCCTTCACCCACCCCACCCAAAACGCCAGAAATGAGCAGCAAACTAAGCACCAGGATCACATATTAGGACAATCTTAAATCTTCCCAGCAAAAGCCTAAAAGCCAGGAAATATGGGAAAGGTAATTTGGCATTTTAAGAAAATCCAAACAGACACTGAAAAAAAACACCCCCGCTGATTGAGAAACACACTGACTACGCAAAGCAATAGAAGTTTGAACATACATCTAATTTATTGAAAACGTGTACTACAAAACTAGCAATTAAAGAGGGAACTGGAAAGCATCAAACTAGACGAATGTCATATCACTCTTCATCTGCCAACAGATATTATTACCATTTTCGAAGAAAAAGCCTCTCTGAATAGAAGCTTCACAAATTCAAAGTTTTTGCCTGCCTCCTCCAGTTAAGGAAACAATGTTTTATATATATTTTGATCCTTTCTTTGAGTTCAAATTGGAAAAGATGATCAACTTTAACAGTCTTAGCGGCTAAGAAAATGCATGATTAAGAGTTAAAACTGCAAAAAGATTATTAAATTTAATACTTTATTCTCAAATATCCTCCTAAAATAGATGCACAAAAAAATCTCTCCCAGGGAAAATTCCAAACCAATTATTCAAAAACAGAAAATGTGCAGTCTCCTGATTCGATAAAACTTACATTTGAAACACCGGACTTTAAAAAGGATAATCCACAAAACAGGCGCAATAACAGAAAACAGCAATTAGCAGCAAAGGATTGGTAGAACTAATAACAATAGTTTTAAAAAAACAAACAATTAAAGCACCATAGACTCATCAGTTTTAAAATACAGAGACAATAGAGAGTAGGGGAGTTAAGTTAAGAAAACTAGCTAGAGAAGAGACTCATCGATTTCAATCTTAACTTTCTCATCGTCTTCGAAGCGATCTAATTTAGGCGGTGATGAAGGAACCGGTATTCTTGGTGGTCCTCTCCCTTTCTTCTTATCTCGAGGCCTCGCCTAACAAATTAAAATTAAAAAAGATAAAACAATCAAAGCAAGCATCACTAGCATTTGGTAAGCAGCTTAAAATGATATTACGAAATACGAACACGAACAAAATAAAGAGAGAATTACATTTCCAAATGAGTGATTAAAACGCTTCCCTTTTGCTGTTTTCTTATCGCCTCGGCCACAGTACACTGAAGTTGCAGAATACAAAATTCGCATTGTTATAATTTATAATAAAGCAAGTACTTGTTCTCGTGTCTTTAGAGAGAGAGAGAGAGAGAGAGAGAGAGAGAGAGAGAGAATAGTTGGTACTGACCAAAGAGGGGGGAGCAAGAGGAGGTTGCAGAAAGCGAGCTTGGAGTCGATGAGCAAGTGAGGGAAGTGCCTAGGGTTTCGGAATGCGAAGAGGAAATGCGATAAGTGCAAAGAGGGAGAGTGAGAGGGAAAATTGGTGGAGCTCGAAGTAGCAGTGACGCCATTGCCGGTCTGTCTGGTTTTTTGAGGATAAGGTGTTTGCTCCGTGATTTCTATACATATATTCCCTGCATTTTGACTTGCTAATCTGCAACGTAGAACCAACCAATAACCATCGTTTCACAAATGAGGCCCAAGTTCTCATCAGCCCAGATTAATATAAAAAACATTAGTTTATTAATTAAAATTGAAGGGAAACATTTCTTTGTTCTAAAAGATTTATAAAAATAAATCTAAGTACATATTTATATGTACTTACTTGTGACAAAATCGTTGCGCCCTTCTATTGTAGGATTATGTTTAGAAGAGTGATTTCACAAGAAAAATAATGGGCCTGAAAATGGACCAATAGGCGCTGCGCTCTCTTTTGTTTGTTT